AATACAAATTCTTAATATTGGGAAAAAAAAGGATGCGTTGTTAATATAACATGTCATTTTCTTAAGTAAAAGCATATCATTAATAAATGATGGTAGCTCAGGTGGTACTAAAAAACTGAGCAGGTAGAATAAAAACATGTGTTCAGAAACTATAAATGATATTATTGTGATCGGTGTAATTGATATTTTCTTTTATGGTTCAAATTCTGGATTGGGCTACGTACCCCTAATATTATCTTTGGAAGGGGTTAAAAAATAATAAATTTTTTTGATTTTCTGAAAAAAAATATGTTTGATAAGTCCTATTTTGTGAAAATATTTTTACAATATGTAACTGTTTTTTACTTTTAAAATTAAATTTAGATTGTTTTTGTTTTGTATTTTAATTTTTAACTTTCAAAATAAAACAAAAAAATATTATTTCATTAACTATTCTACAAAACAATTTAAAAAAATATATAATACAATCAAACATACCTTTCATTTTTATTTGTCTGGCACGCTTTTTCGTAATCCTACAATTTAATTAAATTTATTATTGATAATAATATTTTGATGATTATTATTTCCCTTTTCCATTGGAAGAATATAAATATTTAATATCATTTAAATTAGGTAAATATTTAATTACTTAAATATTATAGAATTATTCGTGAGATGTTATAATAGTTAAAGAATAATTATTATCACTACTCTTTGAATTCTTCGCTTTATACATAACCTGCATATTTAAGTTGTACACGTTCTTGGTTCCTTTCTATTTCTGTTTCCTTTTTCCTTCGGCGGTGGCATGTGTGTCAACTGTCAACTATGATACCATAGATCATTGCTCAAGCCTCAAAGAGTTAGAATGCATGTCCAAAATTTTAAGTTTGAGCATGTGAAAAATAGTATTTACATAGAGAGATAACTCTTTACATGATAATAGTCTTACATTTAAATAAAGGGAAATATTTTTTTCCTTTCAAAACAAATTATTCTTATAGACTAGTGTTTAAAAATCCGGCCCGACCATCGACCCGATCGAGGTCACGGGTCACGGGTTCAACCGGAGGGTCACAGGTTCACTACGCTGATCCGATTTTATATATTAAAAAAATATAAATATATATATCCTATATGAAAATATTAAAAAATAAATCACCAATCATAAAAAATTTAAAACATACTTAACATAATTCACCAATTACAATCACAAGTCAATATTACACAACCTAATTAAAGTATCAAGATACTAAAGTACAAAACTCATATTCTAATATACCAAAGTATAAAGATACCACAAGTCTAGGTCGCTGGGAGAGAAGAGAACGATTACATTTAGGTTTGCAAGCATTTTTTATTTATTAAAACGACGTTGTTTCATTGAATTTTCTTTAAAAAAAAATCATACAATGACTCCCTTTGACCCCTCTGACCCGGGAGTCACTGAAACCCGGCCGGGTTTAGGAGGTCGGAGGGGTCGATGTGCATAGAGAGTCCAACTTGTGACCCCAACCCTCAGAAGGGAGGGGTCAAGGTTGACCTGAGTCAACCCGGTGGTGGAGTGAGGTTTTAAAACACTGCTATAGACTTATAATTTTAGTGGTCTATAATATAATAAAGGAGAGAAAATATTTTAAGGTGGGGTCCATTATAACTTGTATTTATAGGAATGATTAATTTTCTTTTGTGAAAAGAAAAAATTATTCCCCTTGAATAAAATGAAAAAACATATGCAAAAAAAATAAAATAAAGTAAAAACATAGGATGGTTATACAATAAGGAAGTATTTGGTATATGAGAAATTTATTTTATCTGAGAATCACGATTCTCAGAAATATGGTAGAAAAGTGAAATTTTCATAAATTTTACCAAAAATTTATTTAATAGAACAAAATATTCATCAAAATGTTGGATTGATTTTCTTGATGCTATTTTTGGTTTATTATAAAATATTACTATAAATATGGATTGGGGTTAATTATGTCCCAAAGAAATTATCAAATTTTCTCATCACATGAGAGTCTCAAAATACCACCCATTTTATGGTATTATAAGATAATTTTTTTTTCATAAACATGAATCCCGAGAATTTAATTTTTTTGAATTTTTTTTTTTACAATCCTAAACATGGGTAAATCGAATTCCTAATATCACTTTTTCAAGATTTTAAAATTTTTCCTTTTACCAAACACCTTATAGGTTTTTTGGCCACTGTTTTTTTTTAAATAATAATTTTTGGCCATTGGTTTAATTTGGTCTGATTTAATTTTGAAACTTAAATTTAACTTGATCATAGCTTAAATAATAACAGGACTGTTCGCTTGATATTTAAAATAAACAAATAAATAAATATATATTTACTATTAATTTATTAAATTAAAGAAATTGAAATTTATAAATATTTTGTAAGATTTTTTTAATATAAATATAATATCATGTTATATAAAATTATAAATTAAAATTACCAGAACTTATTATATAGTGTTAATTATTAAAATAATTAAAATATTGTATGATACTAAATGAAACTTTAGCAACTTAATATATAAGTCAACCTCAACTGAAAACTCAGCGAATTTAATTTTTAAAAGCTATGATTATAGGATGAGGACAGAGAATCGAGATAGGAAAGAAGTGTAGTTGACGGATCAGGGATAAATGTGTAATTGCACCTATCAGATATTTTCGATATAACACGTAAGCATGTCAGATATTTAAGCAGCTAATAAATATCGGTGCTTGCCTTTTCCGTAGACAATAGTATTATTATTATATATTATATTAAAATTATTTTTTTTTCTCATAAATTTCTCGGCCTATGTTTCTATTCTTACTAGTCCATCGTAAGTACTACTGTAGCATTGTAAATTTCACGGTCATATATATATATATATATATATGGTAGAATCTTTTGACATCTGTGTTAAATTTAAAATTTGACATCTCATTTGATAGTCGTCAGATAAAAAGATCAATGGTGTAACATGCTTACAAATCAGAGTCGTTGATCTTTTTTTATCTAACAACTGTCAGATAAGGTGTCAAATTTTAAATTTGACATTAGTGTCAAAGGATCATATATATATATATATATATATATATATATATATATATATATATATATATATATATATATATATAGGCTTATCATTTCACAAGCTGCCGGAGATAATTTTATCTCCGGCTAATAAATCATAACAGTACAAAGATGAATCAATGATAATGAAGGAATAGAGTAAAAAAAGAAATCATAACCATTCAAAGGTGAATCAATTAATATAAGGAAATAAATAAACAAAACGACGTAGTTTTGGAGTCGCCGGAGATAAACTTATCTCAAGTTGCCAGAGAAATATTTTTCCTATATATATATGGGGAGGGTTCTTTTGACTCCAGAGTAAGACTTTTAAGTCTTACTCCCCATCTCAGCCGTTGATGAACAAAAATCAACGGTTGTCATTTATGATGTAATTAATAATTAATTAATTAATTTAATTTCTTAAACTATAACTGTTGGATGGACGGAAATCAACGACTAGGATGAGGAGTAAGATTTATAAGTCTTACTCTGGAGTCAAAGGATCTCTCCCTATATATATATATATATATATATATATATATAGGAAAGATATTGTAACAATCAAGTTGTGTTACTACCAATCAATTTCATCGTTAGATCGATTATGTTAATTCAACGGTTATATTTATTTTAATCTTTGTATGGTTATGATTCCTCATATTTAAAGTGAAAGCATTAAATATGGGAAATCATAACCATACAATGGTGAAAATAAATATAAAGGATTAAATTTGAAAAATCATAACCATACAAATATGAAAATAAATAAAACCGTTGGATGAACATAATCGATCTAACGGTGAGATTGATTGGTAATAACATGGTAGTAATAAAACTTGGTTGTTACAATATCTTTCCCCTATATATATAGGCTTATCGTTTCTCACGTTGCTTGAGATAATTTTATCTTCGGCTACTAAATCATAACATGTTTGGTTTAGTATGCTCTTTTCACTTAAGCCCAATGGCTTTAGTGAGAGTGAGCCCAAAGTCCAATTTTAACACATGAAGCTTATGGTTAGTTTTGGATGGGCAGGGTATATAAACACACTTTTATCCCTTGTGCCTCCTAGGGGTTATAGACATCAGAAACACACCTAAGAGGCAGACGTTCATCATCTGAATGGTTGCCCACACGACCACCTGATCCCCTTGAGTCATAGCCTGGAAGATCAACCGTAAAACGAAATTGCGACCGTTCGTGGTGTGTTTCTGATGATATACCTTCATAACCGTACAAGGATGGATGGACCAATGGTGATAAAGGAAGAGGGAGAAAAGAAAAATCATAATCATTGAAAGGTGAATCAATTAATATAAGGAAATAAATAAATCAAATAACGTAGTTTTGAGATAATCAGAAATAAACTTATCTCGCTGGTTGAAAAATATTTTTTCATATATATATATGGGTTTATCATCTATCATTTAACATGATCACAAAAATTTTCCTACACACACAACATTTTGTGGGGCCAGTAGCAAAAAAAAAAAAAAAACTTCGGCACGCAAAACGAATCTCTATAACATAACACAATCACTTTTCCTACAACATAACTCTTATAAAACCCTATATATATTTATAGAATTAGTTAAATATGGATTGATCCTGCAGTAATAGAAATTGATACAGTTCTAATAATTTTATTTGATCCTAATGTAATTTTTAAAAGGAATAAATTAAAATGGCGAGATCAAATAGCATCCTAATTTGTTATTGAGAGAATAATTGGTCGGACCACAAATAAAGAATAAAGTATTTTTGATTGACAAATACGGGGAGCATATCCACATTCCACAGTCCACACCGCTTTAACCCTGGTTTAAAAAAGCACACGGCGTATAGACCCAGGCAAGGGGGAAGTTAACCCTAGTTAAGACATCCACAGCTATATAAATAGCGTTGGGTGTAACCATTTTTCTTTGTGCTCTGACTTCAAGGTGGATTCTCGCTAATCCTCCTTTTCTTTTCCCTTTATTCACTTTGTGTCCCAGTTTTCTAGGGTTTCTGGTTGTCCATGGCTTCTGGAGATATTGAGTACCGATGCTTTGTTGGTGGGCTAGCATGGGCCACCGACAACGATGCTCTTGAGAAAGCCTTCTCTCCCTACGGCGAAATCGTCGAATCGAAGGTCCGTTTGTCGCAGGGATCGGATCTGACACGATTCGGATTTGGATTTCCTCGATCCCATCTGTTCTCTGCTCTCTGATCTGTTTTGCGTTACTTGATCTATGATACTTGTGTTACTATAATGATTCTTTTATTACTCACACCAATCGGTACGTTCATCTTCATCTTTGATTCAAAGGCGAAGATCGATCGGTTCTAATGTGATTTTTTTCCCCTTATTTTTTATTCGGATTTGAGTCCGATCTGATCAATTGTTTGTTTTCCATGTTCAGGTCATCAACGATCGTGAGACTGGAAGGTCGAGGGGGTTTGGATTTGTGACCTTCGCATCGGAGCAGACTATGAGGGATGCCATTGAAGGAATGAATGGTCAGAACCTTGATGGCCGCAATATTACTGTGAACGAGGCTCAGTCCCGTGGAAGGGGCGGTGGTTACGGAAACGGTGGAGGCGGATATGGCGGAGGAGGGTACAGTCGCGGCGGAGGAGGCGGATACGGAGGGGGTGGCCGTCGTGAAAGTGGTGGCTACAGCCGCAACGGTGGCGGAGGCTACGGCGGCGGTGGCTACGGAGGCGGTGGCTACGGAGGAGGTGGTTATGGCGGTGGGCGAGACCGTGGATACGGAGAGCGTGGTTACGGAGACGGTGGGTCCCGCTACTCAAAGGGAGGTGGTGTTTCGGATGGAAACTGGAGGAATTAAGGGTGCGTTAATTTATGTTTAGCTGGTTAAAGGGGAGGTTGTGGTTTATGCCATGATCATGCCCTAGTGTTATTTTGGGTGTTGGTATATCGTTTGTGGTTTGAGTTTCTGTTATGGTTTCGTGTCCCTTATGTGGTTCTCGTTTTTGACCTCTGAATTGTGTACTGGTTGTTTATAAACAATCCATTAAAGAATTGTCAGAAATTATGACCAGATAGTTTTTACTGATTTATGATTTTATGTCCTATGTTGACTCTACCTTTTTCGATTAAATATCTGTTGAACAACAACATCTGATTTGCCATGCCAAGTAAAATTCTACCGCTCTTGCTCTTAATTAACAAAGAAAGCGTTTAAAACTAATTGCTTCAAAGAGGTGGCCACTGTTTTTTTTTTTTGTTTAATATTTTATGTCAATTGGATGCACTTTTTTAATAAAACAACCTGCGAATCAGGAATTAATTAGATTATAGGTTTATTAAAGTTTCTAAACTTACTTTATAAAGCTTTCTTAATGTTTATCAAAATATACACAAAAAAGTGAGTATGATCCATATTTATTTATTTATTTTTGTATATTTTGATAAACATTAAATAAAATTATCTAAATTAACTTTATAAATTTCAAACCCTTAAATTATATTAAGCTATTGTGAATTGTTTTGCTCCATGGCAAAAAGTGCCAGATGCGAATGATCTGTAACTTGTGGGGCTGTTTTTATTCAAAACACAAGAAGCGTGTAGGAAAGGAAGGCTTAATTCAAGGGACGAGCACATTCCTGAATTCTTACTTAAAGCAAGCCCTGTTGTAACAATAATTTGATGGGTTTCATAAATATGTTTGCGTTCATGAATGTGTTTGTTTGTTTGTCCTTTTGAAGTTTCCTTCACGTGAATGTCAAAGTACACCGGTAAGGAATGAAAATACATCCCTGTAGAAACGAGAAAGACACGTTTTTGCGCGTGTGATGCCATGACCATGAGATATTCTCAATGAACCCATGGATCGAATAGCTTAAAAGGAGCCTAGGAGAGCGTCAAGTGCGTGATCTTTCACGCAAAATATCCACAAAAAATCAATGTCAACATCATTCCAAAGCCCATAGTTAATAATCTATGCAGGACTTGAGCGGAAGAAATTCAAAAATTACATGTTTTCCGGTTACGTACGGCATCTTCTTTTCTTTATTTCCATACTTGTGTTCTAGCTACTCTGTTCACGAGGTTATCACTTATCACCAGGTATATATGCTTTCTCCACTGCTGAATGTTAATGCAATTTCCAACCAAAGAAAGGAAAAATTAAAAAAGGGACTACAAGTGGATTAATTCGTGGAATCTGAGCCTAAAACTGTAAGCATTGTCATCCGATAAAGTGCACCTTCATTATTCACGATGATAACAAAAGTTGTTTGTTTAATTTTGATTTATTACAGAACCATGTTAGAAAACATTCAAGCACTTAGTTCCAAAATGATTATTATTTTTCATCTAATTAAAACATGTCAGCATTTTAAATTACGAAATCATTTAAAATAATTGTATTACTGTGAAAATCATAAATGAAGGAGTCAGTAATATAATCATGAATAAAATATTATCTACGCAAGGATCATATACCATTATCAAATTAATAATTTTAATATTTTAAGCTAATGCAAGTAATACAAATTTTAAATTAAAAAGTTAGTAAAAAATAAATGTGAAAAATAAGCAATTAAATAAAAGTAATGCAGATTAAAACTATGATTTTACTATTAACTACCAGTGTAGTTGAATTCCCTCAGTCTAAAAGAAAGTGTTAGGATTAAAATAATACTATTTTCATGAGAACTCCGTTTACAAAATATCGTTAGGCTTTCAGGTTACTTGTTGACTTTTCAAATGATTAATCTTATTTCAGGTTCCTCACCAAAATATGTTAGGTCTATGCGTATATATGTAAGTCGTACCTATATATCGTTGAATAAAAACCAATAAATTCACTTAATAAATAATAATCAAGCGTATGTACAAGAATTATTTCCTGTTCATAGAAAAAAAAGGATATATCTTTCAATAAATGTAAAAAAAAAAACACATTGAAATAAATATACAAAAACCGAAATTTAACATGAACATATGCAAAGTGAATGAATGTATGATTGAGATGAGTATGTTGGCTGATGTCACTAAGGGATTATGGCTTAACTAATCATATAAAAGATGATGAATCGTTCGATCAATTGAATAGGTAAACGTAAACGTAATTCAAGTTGCAAGGTGGGGATCGGAAATGTGTTTGTTTCTCTTTACCGCAATATTTTCTCAAATATTTTCTCCATTCTTAATCTTTTGTTCTCGAATTTTAAAAGAACTTTTGGAATCATTTACATCTTCCTTAATTGTTTTAGTTTATTTCATGAACCACAATTGTTCTCAACCTATTTTGATTAATCCAACAAGAGAGGAATAATTATAACAACTTAGGTGCCTCAATCCTCGTAGAGACGATACTCTACTCATTCTTTATTACTTGCCGATTTTACGCAACAAAAATCTTACCCATAAGTGTCTAAGCAATTTTGCTTGGAAATAAAGAGCTCATGACTACGTTCAATATATGTTAGTATTTTCGTTTAGCTGCCCCATTATGTTGGGGTTATTCAACACATGAATTCTACTCCATTGTCAGTACGAAAGCACTTTATCTTGGTACTAAATTGGTTTCCGACTAAGGCAATGAAATCTTGGATGTGGATATGAGTTTCACACTTATTCTTCATGAGAACAACCCAGGTAAATCTAGAGAAATTATCTACTAGCTAGAGAGAGAAAGTAGTTAAAACCATTAATAGAAGGAACTGAATAGGGTCTCCATATATTTCCATGTATAAGATCAAAAGGAGTGATTGATTTATTTGAGCTGATAAGAAAAAATAATCTTTTTTGTTTTGAATATTGACAGATTTCTCAAGGAGTAGAAATTTTATTACAGGTACTGAAAGGAAAGAAGCAAGACATAGCCTGCAATATTGAATGTGAGTTGTGATCAAGCCGCAAGTGCCACTATGCTTGTATTGTGACAGGAACTGGCTTGTTGTAACTCAAGTACGTAGATTCCATCCATCGACCTAGTTGATCCAATCATCCTCATGTGCATTTCAGATTTGGTTGCAGACCATTAAGTTCATCCCATAAAATTTTCAGTTGTGTGAAATAATCAGCATCTGACTTATCACCTTGTTGCACCTTGAAAATATCTTCTTGCAGCTCTGCAATCTTGAATACATAAGCTTGAGAGAATCTTTCACAATGGTCTCTCCAAGCATCTATAACATTGTCAATCAGTAAAATTAATTGACTGAGCGATACGTTCTGATTTGGATCGATGAATGCACGATAAAACCATTATGTTGCAATTTTCCTATGCTGGAAAGAGAGGATTTATTGCTTGAGGAACTACTATATATGCTTCCATCAACAAAGGACAGTTGTTCTTGGATAATGATCAGAATCAATTTTACAATTGGGATGATCATGTGATCTTCCTCGATACAAATAATTTGGAATCGCCTTGAGTCGGTACAACCTGCAGTTAGAGCAGCTTTAACCAATGGGGTTTTAGTGGAACAAGGTGGAGGGTGTATCTGCAAGACACTCCGACACTCAAGTCAAATTTGATTTAAATTTTTTTATTATATAGAAGAAGATATTTACCTTTAGTTAACACATTTATTTTTATAGTATGTAGTGTCCAGCTTGGTGGGGAGAGGAGCAGCTTGGTTACAAGTGTGTGAGGCGTCAAATCTTCCCTATTGGTTATTGTAGGTGGCTGAAATCATCTTGTTACATAAGTGTCTTGGAGATAAAATAAGCTTGAGAAGTTTGTAGAAGGGATAACTTGCTGTTATGTAATTTTTTAATGTTGAGAAGTTTACTGAGATGAGTATTTAACTATAACAGATTATAATATTTGCTTAAGGATGAAAACTTTCAAAATAGGCCTTGTGTTATTATAATATAAGTCTAGATCATGTAACAATGCTAAACGCATGGCTCCTTTTGTTTGGATGCAAGAAAATTACGTTGTTTGGATGTGTTAGATAATCTAGTATCTGATTTGCCATTTGAAAAAAATAAAATAAAATCAGAGATATCAAAGAAAACGATTGCATTAATAAGTAGAAGCAAGAAGGCGAAAGAGATACCAAAGCTCTATACCATCTAACACCCGTACAAAAGAAGAATAGCAAATTTAAAATATATTTGTTTTTCTATATTCAATAAAATGACGATGATACAATCTCAAATATATATAGCATCAAGTAAAGCTAATAGTAAGGTAAATTGATATAGCAACTAAGTGAGCTACCTACAACTGACTAGTGACTAGGGTTACGGTTATAACAGAGTATTAGAGAGGTGTTGAGCTAACAAGCTAGCCACGTGTGCATGAAGTTTTCGTGGATAAGGAACTTCGTTTCTTTATTTCGTTTCTTCAGTTTCAACTCCAGTTTCTATATGTGTTATGTGTATCTGCATGCGGCGACTATTAACATGATCAAGTTATGTGGAGAATAATTCTCCCCAAAAAAAAGTTATGTGGAGAATATCAATCATTCATAACTTTTAACAATAAATCATAGGTTAACTATTAAAATGAATATTTCCTCTTCTCCAGTTTACCAAATTATTCTTTCCTAGCTGATGCATAAGTAACATTACTCCTCCTATTCCATTAAGAGGGGTGTCATTATTTTTCATTCACATTCATTTATTATAATTTTTATTTAAAAAAATATTTATTAAATAGTTGAGTTGATTTAGTAATTAAGTAATTTATAGTGACTTTTATGCTTTTAGTAATTTTAATTATCAATCATTATTTTTAGTTTAAAAATTATATCCTAATTATAGTCATATTTTATCTTTTATTTTGAATTCATAGTGCCTTATGCTCAAAAAAATAGAAAATGACCAAAATTATAATACTAGGTAATTAAAAGTATTAGAGTTGATGTAAGAATTTATCTTTTTATCAAGTTTCAATTGATCCTTATATAGAGAGAGAAAGCGAAGAGAGATTTGAATAAAGGGAGAAAAAGAAAAGTGATATAAAATAGCTGACAATCCATAATTAATCTGAGAACAAATCTGGCTATAAAATAAAAATAAAAATCTGAGAACAAATCTTTCAACGTCATGAGGGTGCAAGCAAGAAGTGACATTGAAGCTTGCACTCGCGGCTTCTCTGGCTTTAACCGTCACCCATCTCTTGCATACACATTTTTTATTTTTTATGATATTTCA